TCGCTACTGCGTGATATCATATTCTGTTTGCGTGCGTGTGTGTGTGTATGAGTACGTGTGATTTATTGTAAAGTTTTAGTGAAAAACGAAAAGCCATCAACATTAGTGCCAAATTGTCGCGGTGTTGTGAAGGAAAAAAAGGAAATGGTTTAGCTATAAGCGGAATTTATGATTTTACTTTTGTTTCAGTCAGTTTTCTGAATTTTCAGGTGGGAGAAGCTTCTTTCTTTTTCGGTGTCGAACAGACAGAGTTTGGAGTACGAGTAGTGAGCGCTGAAAATGAACACATGATAAAAAAGATGGGATTTCTGTTTCCTTTTGAAAGAAAATAGATAATTTGTTTATATATATATATATATATATATATATATATATATATATATATATATATATATATATATATAAAATTAACTGATTTAAAATATGTTTTTTTCGCTACACAGTTCTAAACATATTTCAAAATTTTAAATATTTTAATGTTGAGCACTATTTTGTAAAAATAAAAATATCTATAAGAACACGGGATTATATATCTTACTGTTCTTTTCTTTTTATATATATATATATATATATATGTGTGTGTGTGTGTGTGTGTGTGTGTGTTTTTATGTGTTTCAGAGAGTTTAATTCTATTGTGTTCCAAGTCGAGGTCACTACTGTTGTTTTTCGTAACATTTGAGAGTGTTGTGCGTTGAAGTTGCAACAATTTACATATGGCAAGTTGTTTTGAAACAACCGCCAAATGAATAAACAAAAATGAGACAGAAATTCTTTATTCTATCGGGAACTTTAAGCGTAGAAAGTGCTCTATGATAAATCCAGAAATAACGTGTAAATTTAAGGATTGTTCTCTTGATAGTCCCTGTAAAAAAGAAGAAATGAATGCGCTCAAACTTACTTTGTTCCTAATTGAAGGAGTGAGCTGGTTTAGTTTCTAAGTCATACGTTGTGTTCGGGGAGTGACAAGATTTGCGTCGTCCTTTGTTTGCGATGCTGCTCAAAAGTGTCTAGTTCCTTGAAATTCACGCTATGCATTCTACTGATTTTTACATATTCACATAATGCTGGAAAAGTAGCTTTGCTGATAATTTTTTTCTTTTTTATTTTACAGCTAAACAGTGTGTAGCGACTGCCATATTCAATGTTCTTCCTATTTCACAAGAAACGCACCATCATCTTCTTCCTTTGAAGACCGTCTTTAAGAATGGTTATCGTTCGCTTGTTCCATTTTTCCCATGACCTTTGTCGGGTCACATTTTTATAAAAGTTTTTTTTTTTTTTAACGCATGTGATAGTTATTTTTAAAAAAGGATCTTAGATTTAAATGCGGTCTAGTCATGCTTTTACAGTTAAATCATGAGGAACCCAAACATTGTAGGCATTCACTGAATCATGTGTTTTCAAAAGCCTTACAAAGTTCATATGTGGATTATCTCTACGATGTTCAGTGTCGTTTGACCTGGATTCATTAATGAATAACGAAATCGAAAAGTTGATTTAAAAAAGCGTTTCCATTTGGTCATTATTAATGACTCCAGACGTGCCAGAATAATTTTGGTCTTCCAGATCATTTCCAATTCTGAATCTGGTGAACCATTTATAAAGAGTACTGTTATATAGTACACTTGGGTTTGAACACAGACCACCACAGAGCAAACACGGGCGATCCCATTTTGAATAAGTAGATCACCTGATGGTAAAGGAAATGTATATCTGGGAATTAGCGTGGCGTCTGATTGATCACCATTTCTATTCTATCCTCTATTACTATATGGATCCCTATTTCTATACTATCCTCTATTACTATACGGATCACTATTCTCTATACTATTTACTATACAATTTCTCTATACTGATCACTATATGGATTACTGTTCGGATAACTATTCGATGATTACTTTTCGAGCGAGTATTATAGAACAAGCACTATTAGTGCTAGTGATATTCGAAGGCGTCTGACACCAGTATTGTTCAACCGCGTACTGCAGTTGCATCTGCGATTACAAAGTCTTTACAACAAGGAGCATTACAAAAGTGACGAGTATTTGCTGACATCACAAGAGTGGAAACGAGTGTTCATTGATATCAAAAAAAGTACTCTCAACTATATCATCATGCTCGGCAAATATGTTGTTGTTTTTTTTCCATTGGTTCTACATGTTTATCATTTCCGGAAGAGCATCAAATGATAAAAATGTATGTCATTTCTGGTCCATTTTCCCTTTTAGCGTAAAACATTTCAAATACACAATCCGCTCATTGATTGAATAAAAGGAGGCAATGAAATGTCACCTTTCATGATGTGCATAGACGCTGTAAAACGAAATCACCTGTTCAAATATTATCCATTAAGAAATACTTTTAAAAGACAGTTTTACGATAGTTAATTTATTAAGAGTGAATTTATTTGGGTACTCCACGAAATGTCACCTTTCATGATATGCATAGACGCTGTAAAACGAAATCACCTGTTCAATTATTAACCATTAAAAATACGTTAAAAAGACAGTTTTACGATAGTTAAGTTATTAAGAGTGAATTTAGTTGGGTACTCCACGAAATGTCACCTTTCTTCATATGCATAGATGTTGTAAAACGAAATCACCTGTTCAAATATTATCCTTTAAAAAATACGTTAAAAAGACAGTTTTACGATAGTAAAGTTATTAAGAGTGAATTTAGTTGGGTAGTCGACGAAATGTCACCTTTCATGATATGCATAGATTTTGTAAAACGAAATCACCTGTTCAAATATTATCCATTAAAATATTTTTAAAAAGACAGTTTTACGATAGTTAAGTTATTAAGAGTGAACTTAGTTGGGTACACCACGAAATGTCAACTTACATGATATGCATAGATGTTGTAAAATGAAATCACCTGTTCAAATATTATCCATTAAAAAATACGTTAAAAAGACAGTTTTACGATAGTTAAGTTGAAAAGAATGATTTTAGTTGGGTACTCCACGAAATGTCACTTTTCATCATATGCATAGATGTTATAAAACGAAATCACCAGTTCAAATATTATCCATTAAAAAATACGGTAAAAAGACAGTTTTACGATAGTTAAGTTATTAAGAGTGAATTTAGTTGGGTACTCCACGAAATGTCACCTTTCATCATATGCATAGATGTTATAAAACGAAATCACCAGTTCAAATATTATCCATTAAAAAATAATTTAAAAAGACAGTTTACGATTTACGATAGTTATCATATTAGATGTTGTAAAACGAAATCACCTGTTCAAATATTATCCATTACAAAATAATTTAAAAGAATTTAAGTTATTATAAGTGTTTAGTTCCTCCACGAAATGTCACCTTTCATCATATGCATAGATGTTGTAAAACGAAATCACCTGTTCAATTATTATCCATTAAAGAATACTTTAAAAAGACAGTTTTACGATAGTTATTAAGAGTGAACTTAGTTGGGTACACCACGAAATGTCACCTTTCATCATATGCATAGATGTTGTAAAACGAAATCACCTGTTCAAATATTATCCATTAAAAATACGTTAAAAAGACAGTTTTACGATAGTTAAAATGTTTTCATCAGAGTGAATTTAAAACTTGGGTACTCCATTAAAAATGTCAGATTTTTATGATATGTTATAGACGTTTGGTAAAACATCAAATCACCTGTTCAAATATTATCCATTACAAAATAATTTAAAAAGACAGTTTTACGATAGTTAAGTTATTATAAGTGAATTTAGTTGGGGACTCCACGAAATTTCCCCTTTCATCATATGCATAGATGTTGTCAAGCGAAATCACATGTTCAAACATCATCCATTAGAAAATACGTTAAAAAGACAATGTTTTTGGTACTCCACGATAGTAAATCATATTAAGAGTGAATTTAGTTGTTTACTCCACGAAATGCACTTTTCATGATATGTATAGATGTTGTAAAACGAAATCACCTGTTCAAATATTATCCATTAAAAAATACGTTAAAAAGACAGTTTTACGATAGTTAAGTTATAAAGAATGAATTTAATTGGGTACTCCACGAAATGTCACCTTTCATCATATGCATAGATGTTGTAAAACTAAATCACCTGTTCAATTATTATCCATTAAAAAAGACTGTAAAAAAGACAGTTTTACGATAGTTAAGTTATTAAGAGTGAATTTAGTTGGGTACTCAGCGAAATGTCACCTTTCATCATATGCACAGATGGTGTAAAACAAAATCATCTGTTCAAATATTATCCATTACAAAATAAATTAAAAGGACAGTTTTACGATAGTTAAGTTATTATAAGTGAATTTAGTTGGGTACTCCACGAAATGTCACCTTTCATAATATGCAGAGATGTTGTCAAGCGAAATCACCTGTTCAAATATTATCCAAATATTATCTTAGAAAATACGTTATAAAGTTTTACAGTTTTTACGATTTAGTTAAGTTATTTCAATATGCAGATGTTGTAAAAGAAATCAGTTTCAAATATTATCCACAAAATGTCACCTTTCCTCATATGCATAGATGTTGTACAACGAAATCACATGTTCAAATATTATCCATTAAAAATGCTTTTAAAAGACAGTTTTACGATAGTTAATTATTAAGAGTGAATTTAGTTGGGTGCTCAACGAAATGTCACCTATCATCATATGCATAGATGTTGTTAAACGAAATCACATGTTCAAATATTATCCATTAGAAAATACCTTAAAAAAACAGTTTTACGATAGTTAAGTTATTAAGAGTGAATTTAGTTGGGTACTCCACGAAATGTCACCTTTCCTCATAGATGTTGTAAAAAAGAAATCCTTTCCTCATATGCATAGATGTTGTTGGGTAACGAAATCTCCTGTTCAAATATTATCCATTAAAAATCACTTTAAAATACAGTTTTAAAATAGTTTACTTATTAAGTTAATTAAGAGGAATTTATTAATTGGGTACTCCTCATATGTGACTATTTTGTCCAAATCACCTGTTCAAATGACCATCAAAAATACTTTAAAAAGCATTTTATGAAAGTGACATAGATAGATAGATAGATAGATAGATAGATAGATGAGAAAGAAAGAAAGAAAGAAAGAAAGAAAGAAAGAAAGAAATAGAGAGAGAGAGTCTGGGTACCAACTGATATAAAAATTTGTCGTTGATGAATGTTAATAAACTCGAAATCAAATTGCTAAGATCAGAGATAGAATTTTGGTGTTGATAATTTTTCGATCCTCTTTCGCTGTCACCTGTGTGCCTTCCTCTTGGAAATTCAACTCATTCTTTACTTGCCGAAGTTACTTGGTGAGTTAAAATCTGCCATCTCTACATATAAAACTGGCCGGTATAAATAGGAGATCGTTTTCTAGTTAGACATATTTCATACACATAAATCAAACCGATCCCAACATTTGTCGCCTTTCGAATTCTTCATGACTCGTCTTCAGATTATTATTTGTATCAGTTACTACTATTTATTCCAGACTTTTACCGCTCAGCTTAACGGCTATGCAAAGATGCTGGAGTCATTTTTTTGCCTAAAGGATCTGCTGCTACTCCTGCTGCTCTTGTTGTTGTTGTATTCTTTTGTTTTCTCGAAGGTTCTAGTTGTTTCTTCTTTTATTTATAATACGAATTGCGCGCTTTCAAGGCTGGTGAGAATTACTTTCGAAAAAAAAAAAAAAAGATAAGGAAACTTAATTCTTCAACACTTGTGTGTCAAGCTTGACTCATCTCCATATATAGATCGATATCTGTGTATCTATGACAGGTTGGCGAGTTGACTTGCCCGTCTCCTTATATGCATTGATCGATCAATTACCTTTCTTTCTTTCTTTCTTTCTTTCTTTCTTTATTTATTTATTTATTTATTTATTTATTTATTTATTTATTTTACAAACTATTCTAATGCATCCCTCTGTCTCTCTATCACATATATTATTAATTTAATTTTATCTTTATAACATTTAATCATAGAAAATATTTTTCAATACGAACAAAGGTAGCCTTAATTCAAACATACACGCACAACACACACACACATACACACACACACGCACACATATATATATATATATATATACATTAATGATGTTTTTATTTTAAAAAAATATTAACTTTAACTCACGTAAGTTACTTAACATCACTTAATAATGGAACAAATTTAAAGTACGGAATCATTGAAATTCCGTGTCGCGCTGAAAAATATTTTTTTAAATAAAAATATTATTAAAATATTATGCTCTACGTTGCCTCGAAAACTTTTTTAAAAAGCAAATGCTAAAGAAATGTAGATGCTTATTCCGACTGTTCTTTCTCTTTATCTGTAAATATATATATATATATATATATATATATACTCACTCCAGCACGTAAAATTACAAATTTCAGATGAACATAGTAATTTCGTCTTTGGAAATAATGAACACATTTTTGTCTTTAAAACACACCCTGCGGATGACATTGTGTTAATGTCGAAAGTACTCAGAATAAAACAATATGTATCAACACGGTAATTTTCACTCTTCTTTTAATACCGACACCAAAAAGTTCATCCGATTATATGAACGGATCCTACTGAAAATAAGCATAAAAAATTGGTTAAATTATTCAATGAAACTTGCCCATACATATATATATATATATATATATATATATATATATATATATATATATATATATATATATATATATGCATTTTCCTATCAATATAACATATGTTAAAACTATATTTTTATTATATATATATAGTTTTAATGTATGTAAATATAAAAGTGGGCATTGAGGTCAAAACACGGTGCAATCTTTAAGCCTGAAATTTAAGCATGAATCAGACTGTCGCCGCTTAATGTTGACCTCAGTATATTTCTGTTCTTATGTATATCAGATTGCTCTATTTGAAATACATTTACAAGACCTTTAAAAGAACTGGAATCAAAACACTATGAAAGTATAATAATGGCTTTTTATGGTAAAAGTACCATCAATAGATTTTTGAAAAAAGTTATTACAAGAAATGCATTATTTTAAAAGAAATTACTAATGCTCCAAAGAAAATTAAATTTCGGCACAAAATGATCCATAAGATGTTGGTATACCGCTAAAAGAATTAAATCTTGAGTAAAAATATTGTCGGCATTAAATAACCCATTGATGTGTTGATATACCGTAAAACAAAATAAACCCAATAAATACTTAAAAGAATTTTTCAGTTCATAAATATAACATCTTTTATTTACCCAGTAAGAATCTGTTTATGGTTAAATATGATTGTTTGTTTTGTTTTACGGTATATCAACACCTCAATGGGTTATTTGATGCGAACGAGATTTTTATTGCTGGCAATGTTTTTTACAGAAATGTATTACTGCTAATAATATCTTGCTGGTAATAATTTAACTTAGTGCTTTTAATATTTTTTTACAAAGGATTTCAGTTATTAAACCTATTTTTACACTTTCATAGTGTATTGGCACCACATGGGGGGGGTTAAGTATTTGCCCAATACTTGGAACCCTAACAGGGGCTCCAGTCCCGGGTCAGGGTAGATCTGGGAACACCGGAAATCAAGAGGTGGTTCCACGCTCCTCAAAACCTTGTCGTTGGGCGTACTTTATCGTCTTACCCAGGACGCGGATGTAGTTTATCGTCATACCCAGGACGGGGGTAAATATCAATTAACATCATGTTGTCAAAACAATTAGGAGAAGTGAAAAATTCAAGAACATAAATTGATTAATAAACGAAAGATATGAAATATATTTTCAACGATCGGGACACTGAAGCATTCCTTTTGAAAAATGGGAAAAAGAAGTATACAAGGCTGGCAGCATACAATAGAAATAAACGCCCATTTCGAAAATAGTATTCCGTGAATCAGAGTACTAAATGGTAAATAATTAGAAATTTATATATATATATATATACATATATATATATATATATATATATATATAGAGAGAGAGAGAGAGAGAGAGAGAGAGAGAGATACGCTTCGAGCAGATGTGATCGTTTGAAGGAAATCATGGAAAATTGTAGTATAAAAGTAGTTAAATCGACTTTTCTCTGTAGCTAAACTGGTATGGCACATCAGGCTATAAGACGGTTCCGAGTAGAATGCAAGTTCGGTTCCTGTTGGAAGACGTATTTTCTATGACAATTTCTCGGACGTTCATGTCGATAGAGGTTGTTTATTATAAAAACAGATTATTTACTTAAATATTTATATATATATTTATATAAATATAAATATTTATATATATATATATATATATATATATATATAAATTAATTGATTTAAATATGGGATTTTTTTGACAAAAACAAAAGCAAATATGTTTCAAAATAGGCTAAAAACCATAATTTTATTTTTTCAAATAAATTAAAAAGATTAGTTCTATTTCATCTTCATTTCTTTTGGATAACTTTTAAAATTTACGGTTTTTAAATACACAGCTAAAAAACGTTTCCATGGTTGCAAATATTTTACTCAAATTGAACACGGGGTGTCTAGATTTTTCCTTATGACAACATATCATTGTATCAAATTAGCTACATTTTGGTAAGGGTGAGGATGTATTTTACACTGAAACCTGACGTCAGTTGAATGGATGTCGTCTGAATTTTTCTTAAAAAAAAAAAAAATTGTTAACGGTAAAAAATTTTCAACGTCATCTTTTTTTGTTTTTAAAAAATTTTTTTTTTTACTTTTTATTTAACTACGATTTGAAATATTTTCCTTTTAATTTTTTTTTTTATATTCTTTTTAAGAACAGTTAAATGTATTAGAATCCATTATATTATGTATTATTTTAACATTAAGTTTAAAAAATGTATATGAGGTTAATTTTTTTTTTTTTTTTTTTTTTTGTATGTTTTTTTTCAAAACAAATGGTTACTTAATTTCAACAATTCAGTAAATTTTTTTTATATAAACCTATTATTATAATCCATGTAAATTTTGAGGACATGGGTCATTTTTTTTTACATGTTATGGTATTTCATATTAATTTTATTTTACTATAGGTGTTATTTTTTTGGATTCTTTTTTTAATGGGTGTAGTATTATTTAAAAGAAATTTAATTTTAGAATTCATTCAATTTAAAATGGCGATAAAATTCAAAATTACAACTTTAAAATTTTAAAATATTTTCATTGTTTAGTTTTAATAGACTATATTACTTTATAACAAAAGGAAAATTATCATATTAAGTAAGATTAAAATCAAAGTATATTAAATTTTTTTTTTTTTTTTTTTTTTTTCTTCTCTTTAAATTTAAATATTATTTAAAATTAATTGAAGGAAAAAAATTAAAGGCCCATTTCTCAAATTTATATATATATATATATTCATGAATTATTCATAGAAAAAAAAAGACAGATAAAGAATGATTTAATTGGGCGAAGAAATCATCCAACATAGATAAAAAAACCTCCACATCCGAAGGAGGAATGATAGAGTTTCATAGATAATTTCTTCCGTATCAGGATTTATAGAGAAGGATCAAAATCTTCACAAAGAGGAATAGATAAAGAGAGACACGGATTTCTTAGGGCGATAAGAAAGAACTAATATAGATAAAGAACAATATTGAAGAGATATTTAATTATAGAAAATACGTATAGATAAAGAGAAATTTGGACAGAATTTTAGGAAATGGAAATTATCACATTAAAAAGATTCAACTTTTTCAAGGACATTGACATTTTCAGATTGAGGCACATCATCAGGATATCTTTTAGAGAGACAGCGATGAGAAGAGACCCTAATATATTTTGCAGTAAACAAAATCAAAAACAAACAACACGAATGCGCAATAATAAAAATATAAAATGGCGATAAAGGGAATCATTTTATTAAACAAGTTTATGACGGAAGTAGAAACATCAGAATTATGGACATGGAAAGGTAAAACGGAGAGAGGGCGAATAGAAGAGGGACATAGATAGAGAGAAAAGAAAAAAATGGAAGGAAAAGAGAAGAAGAGGACATAGATAAAGAGACACGCAGAGAGAAGGAATTGCCCAGAAAGAGGACATATAAAGAGAGACACGGAGAGAAAATAGAGAAAGAGGACATAGATAAAGAGACACGGAGAGAAGGGGCGATAGAAAAGGACATAGAAAAGAGAGACACGGAGAGAAATTGGATAGAAAGAGGGACATAGATAAATACGGAGAGAGACACGGATAGAGAAAGGGACATAGATAAAAAAGCGACACATAAGAGAAGGGCGATAGAGAAAGAGGACATAGATAAAGATACAGGAGAGAAGGAGCGATAGAAAAAGAGGACATAGAAAAGAGAGACACGGAGAGAGGGCGATAGAGAAAGAGGACATAGATAAAGAGTGACACGGAGAGAAAGGAGAAAGATAGAGGAAAGAGGACATAGATAAAGAGAGACACGGAGAGAAAGGAGCGATAGAGAAAGAGGACATAGATAAAGAGAGACACGGAGAGAAGGGCGATAGAGAAAAGGACATAGATAAAGAGAGACACGGGAGAGAAGGAGCGATAGAGAAAGAAGACATAGAAAAGAGATACGGAGAAGGGGCGATAGAAAAGACATAGAGAGATACACGGAGAGAAGGGCGATAGAGAAAGAGGACATAGATAAAGAGAGACACGGAGAGAAGGGCGATAGAGAAAGAGGACATAGATAAAGAGACACGGAGAGAAGGGCGATAGAGAAAGAGGACATAGATAAAGAATACACGGAGAGAAGGGCGATAGAAAAGAGGACGTAGATAAAGAGAGACACGGAGAGAAGGGAAGATAGAGAAAGAGGACATAGATAAAGAGACACGGAGAGAAGGGGCGATAGAAAGAGGACATAGATAAAGATGACGGGAGAGAAGGGCGAAGAGAAAGAGGACATAGATAAAGAGAGACACGGAGAGAAGGGGCGATAGAGAAAGAGGACATAGATAGAGATACGGAGAGAAGGAGCGATAGAGAAAGAGGACATAGACAGAGATACGGAGAGAAGGGGCGATAGAGAAAGAGGACGTAGATAAAGAGTGACACGGAGAGAAACAACGATAGAGTAAGAGGACATAGATAAAGAGAGACACGTAGAGAAGGGGCGATAGAGAAAGAGGACATAGATAAAGAAGAATACACGGAGAGAAGGAGCGATAGAGAAAGAGGACATAGATAAAGAGACACGGAAGAGAAGGAAGACGATAGAAAAGAGGACATAGAAAAAGAAAGACACGGAGAGAAGGGCGATAGAATAAGAGGACATAGATAAAGAGAGACACGGAGAGAAGGAGCGATAGAGAAAGAGGACATAGATAAAAATGAGAGACACGGAGAGAAAGAGCGATAGAGAAAGAGGACATAGATAAAGAGACACGGAAGAGAATAAGAAGGTGCGATAGAAAGAGACATAGATAAAGAATAAGACAATAGAGAGAAGGGGCGATAGAGAAAGAGGACATAGATAAAGAGAGACACGGAGAAAAGAAGAGAATGAGAAGAGATAAAAAAGTGACACGGAGAGAAGGGCGATAGAGAAAGAGGACATAGATAAAGAGAATCACGGAGAGAAGGAAAATAGAGAAAGAGGACATAGATAAAGAGAGACACGGAAAAAAGGAGCGATAGAAAAAGGACATAGATAAAAAGAGACACGGAAAGAAGGGATGAAAAGAGGACATAGATAAAGAGAGATAAAAGAGAACAAGGAGAGAAGGGTGATGAGAAAAAGAGACATAGATAAAGAAGACACGGAGAGAAGGGGTGATAAAGAAAGAGGACATAGAAAAGAGAGATACGGAGAGAAGGGAAAGAGAAAGAGACATAGATAAAGAGAGACACGGAGAGAAGGGCGATAGAGAAAGAAGACATAGATAAAGAGCGACACGGAGAGAAGGGGCGATAGAGAAAGAGGACATAGATAAAGAGAGACACGGAGAAAAGACACGTTAGAGAAAGAGGACATAGATAAAGAAAGACACGGAGAGAAGGGGCGATAGAGAAAGAGGACGTAGATAAATAGTGACACGGAGAAAGGACATAAAGAAAAGAGGACATAGAAAAAGAGACACACGGAGAGAAGGAGCGATAGAGAAAGACACATAGATAAAGAGAGACACGGAGAGAATGAGTGATAGAAAAAGAGGACATAGATAAAGAGCGACACGGAGAGAAGGGCGATAGAGAATGAAAACATAGATAAAGAGAGACACGGAGAAAAGGAGCGATAGAGAAAGAGGACATAGATAAAGAAAGACACGGTGAAGAAGGGCGATAGAGAAAGAGGACATAGATAAAGAGAGATACGGAGAGAAGGGACATGATAAAGAAGACATAGATAAAGAAAGACACGGAGAGAAGGAAGATAGAGAAAGAGGACATAGATAAAGAGAGACACGGAGAGAAGGAGGATAGAGAAAAGAGGACATAGATAAAAGAGACACGGAGAGAAGGGCGATAGAGAAAGAGATATAGATAAAGAGAGACAAGGAGAAGAGGGGCGATAGAGAAAGGGACATAGATAAAGAGAGACACGGAGAGAAGGGCGATAGAGAAAAGAGGACATAGACAGAGATACGGAGAGAAGGGGTGATAGAGAAAGAGGACATAGATAAAGAGACACGGAAAGAAGGAAGATAGAGAAAGAGGAGATAGATAAAGAAGACACGTAGAGAAGGACATAGAAGAGAAAGCGGATATAGATAAAGAGAGACACGGAAGAGAAGGGGTGACATGAAAAGAGGACATAGATAAAAGAGAGACACGGAGAGAAGGCGCGATAGAGAAAAGAGGATATAGATAAAGAGAGACAAGGAGAGAAGGAGCGATAGAGAAAGAGGATATAGATAAAGAGAGATACGGAGAGAAGGGCGATAGAGAAAGAGGACATAGATAAAGAGACAAGGAGAGAAGGAAGCGATGGAGAAAGAGGACACAGATAAAGAGACACAAGGAGAGAAGGAAGAAGAGACAAAAAGGACATAGATAAAGAGAGACACACGGAAGAGAAGGAAGAGATAGAGAAAGACACAGAAAAGAGACACGGATGAGAAGGAGCGATAGAGAAAAAGGACATAGACAGAGATACGGAGAGAAGGGGCGATAGAGAAAAGAAGACATAGATAAAGAGACACGGAAAGAATAAGATAGAGAAAGGACATAGATAAAGAGAGACACGGAGAGAAGGGCGATAGAAAAGAGGATATAGATAAAGAGAGACACGGAGAGAAAGGGCGATAGAGAAAGAGGACATAGATAAAAAGAGACACGGAGAGAAGGAGCGATAGAGAAAGAGGACATAGATAAAGAGAGACACGGAGAGAAGGAGCGATAGAAAAGAGGACATAGATAAAGAGATACACGGAGAGAAGGGCGATAGAGAAAAAGAGACACGAGATAAAGAGAGACACGGAGAGAAGGGAGAAGAGAATAAGAAGACATAGATAAAGAGACACGGAGAGAGAATAAGAAGATAGAGAAAGAGACATAGATAAAAGAGAGACACGGAGAAGAGGAGCGATAGAGAAAGAGGACATAGACAGAGACACGGAGAGAAGGGCGATAGAGAAAAGAGGACATAGACAAGAGAGACACGGAGAGAAGGGGCGATAGAGAAAGGGACATAGATAAAGAGAGACACGGAAAGAAGGAAGATAGAGAAAGAGGACATAGATAAAGAGAGACACGGAGAGAAGGGCGATAGAGAAAGAGGACATAGATAAAAAGAGAGACACGGAGAGAAAGGAAGATAGAGAAAGAGGACATAGATAAAGAGAGACACGGAGAGAAGGGGCGATAGAGAAAGAGGACATAGATAAAGAGAGACACGGAGAGAAGGAGCGATAGAGAAAGAGGACATAGATAAAGAGAGACACGGAGAGAAGGAGCGATAAAGAAAGAAGACATAGATAAAGAGAGACACGGAGAGAAGGAGAGATAGAGAAAGAGGATATAGATAGAGATACGGAGAGAAGTGGCGATAGAGAAAGAGGACATAGACAGAGATACGGAGAGAAGGGGTGATAGAGAAAGAGGACGTAGATAAAGAGAGTCACGGAGAGAAGGAGTGATAGAGAAAGAAGACATAGATAAAGTGCGACACGGAGAGAAGGGGCGATAGAGAAAGAGGATATAGATAAAGAGCGACACGGAGAGAAGGAGGGATAGAGAAAGAGGACATAGATAAAGAGAGATACGGAGAGAAGAGGCGATAGAGAAAGAGGACATAGATAGAGAGACACGGAGAGAAGGGCGATAGAGAAAGAGGACATAGATAAAGAGAGACACGGAGAGAAGGGCGATAAAGAAAGAAGACATAGATAAAGAAGAGAGACACGAGAAAGGGAGATAGAGAAAGAGGACATAGATAAAGACACGGAGAGAAGGAGCGATAAATAAAGAAGACATAGACAAAGAGAGACACGGAGAGAAGGAGAGATAGAGAAAGAGGACGTAGATAGAGATACGGAGAGAAGTGGCGATAGAGAAAGAAGACATAGAAAAGAGACACGGAGAGAAGGGGCGATAGAAAAGAGGATATAGATAAAGAGAGACACGGAGAGAAGGGGTGATAGAGAAAGGGACATAGATAAAGAGAGACACGGAGAGAAGGGGCGATAGAGAAAGAGGATATAGATAAAATAGAGACACACGGAGAGAAGGGGCGATAGAGAAAGAGGACATAGATAAAGAGCGACACGGAGAGAAGGAGCGATAGAGAAAGAGTACATAGATAAAGAGAGACACGGAGAGAAGTGGTGATAGAGAAAGAGGACATAGACAGAGATACGGAGAGAAGGGGCGATCGAGAAAGAGGACATAGATAAAGAGAGACACGTAGAGAAGGGGCGATAGAGAAAGAGGACGTAGATAAAGAGAGACACGGAGAGAAGGAGGGATAGAGAAAGAGGACATAGATAAAGAGAGATACGGAGAGAAGAGGCGATAGAGAAAGAGGACATAGATAAAGAGAGACACGGAGAGAAGGAGGAATAGAGAAAGAGGACGTAGATAAAGAGAAACACGGAGAGAAGGAGCGATAGAGAAAGAGGACATAGATAAAGAGAGATACGGAGAGAAGGGGCGATAGAGAAAGAGGACATAGATAAAGAGAGATACGGAGAGAAGGGGCGATAGAGAAAGAGGACATAGATAAAGAGAGACACGGAGAGAAGGAGCGATAGAGAAAGAGGACATAGATAAAGAGAGACACGGAGAGAAGGGGCGATAGAGAAAGAGAACATAGATAAAGAGAGACACGGAGAGAAGGAGCGATAGAGAAAGAGGACATAGATAAAGAGAGACACGGAGAGAAGGAGCGATAGAGAAAGAGGACATAGATAAAGAGAGACACGGAGAGAAGGAGCGATAGAGAAAGAGGACATAGATAGAGATACGGAGAGAAGGGGCGATAGAGAAAGAGGACATAGATAAAGAGAGACACGGAGAGAAGGAGCAATAGACAAAGAGGACATAGATAAAGAGAGACACGGAGAGAAGGGGTGATAGACAAAGAGGACATAGATAAAGAGAGACACGGAGAGAAGTGGCGATAGAGAAAGATGACATAGATAACGAGAGACACGGAGAGAAGGAGCGATAGAGAAAGAGGACATAGATAAAGAGAGACACGGAGAGAAGGGGTGATAGAGAAAGAGGACATAGATAAAGAGAGACACGGAGAGAAGGGGCGATAGAGAAAGAGGACATAGATAAAGAGAGACACGGAGAGAAGGAGCGATAGAGAAAGAGGACATAGATAAAGAGAGACACGGAGAGAAGGGGTGATAGAGAAGAGGACATAGATAAAAGAGAGACACGGAGAGAAGGAGCGATAGAGAAAGAGGACATAGATAAAGAGAGACACGGAGAGAAGGAGCGATAGAGAAAGAGGACATAGATAAAGAGCGACACGGAGAGAAGGAGCGATAGAGAAAGAGGACATAGATAAAGAGAGACACGGAGAGAAGGGGCGATAGAGAAAGAGGACATAGATAAAGAGAGACACGGAGAGAAGGAGCGATAGAGAAAGAGGACATAGATAAAGAGAGACACGGAGAGAAGGGGTGATAGAGAAAGAGGACATAGATAAAGAGAGACGCGGATAAACGCGATACAGAAAGAGTACATCGAGAAAAAGAAGACATGGAGAGAAGGTGTAATAGAAAAATAAAGAGAGGTGCGCATATATAAAATAAATTGAAGAAAATGCTTATGTTGTCAGGCAAATTTGTTAAACAGCAAATATTCCTCGCCTTTCTCGAGCGCCTGAATTTATTCTCCATAAACAACGAGTTTTCTTTTCAATTTTCACGTTTATTTTTCATTTCCGTGTCTCTTCTCATTAATTTCTCTCCCAACGAAAATTTCTCATCTTCATGAAGAGATATTTTTGCCCAAGCTTGCAATCTAGCATCATTTGGGCGTCATCGTTAGCCATGTGCTACGTACATCATAGCTGATGCCACATAGATTTACATTTAATTACATTTCCTCAAAGCATGAGTATATACGCTTGCCCTTTAAGCATATTCATTACACACACGCCTATATATATATATATATATATATATATATATATATATATATATATATATATATATATAGGCGTGTGTGTGTGAGGAGGAGGTTCTGAAAAGATTCTTGTCCTCATCATCGCGTAATATATATATTATATATAACTAATTTTCAAATTTCTCTTAAAATACTTATATATATATATATATATATATATATATATATATATATATATATATATATGTTTGTTTGTGTGTCGGTGGGTGGGTGGGTGTGCAGGGGTGTAGCTGGCCACTCGTATTCGAGATACCTGTCAACTAGGGTGGCAGTCAATCCCTATTGCAGACGCTTGCTCAGGCGTATTTAGGCGTCAACACCCACAGTTCCTACCTGTGGTTTATACTGCAACTATGCTGAGCAGACCTTAGTTACACTTTCTGGGAAAGAGCATGTTATCTAGCGTGATCAATTATTTGAACAAAGCCAACATGCTCAAACACTCAACCACGATGACTTGTGACTTCGTGCTGTATATATATATATATATATATATATATATATTTATATAATTATATATATATATATATATAATTATTATCAATTCATCAGACCTACAAATTTTGAATTTGTAGGTCTGTTGAAATACCCTCCAGGATTCAATTCAAATATATATATATATATATATATATATATATATATATATATATATATAATCTTTAAAAAAAGGATCGTCTTTTATTCATAAGGATACAAAAGTATCACATCGATTAAAATTTAAGGTACCTTTCGGCAGATACATCTTCAGAAAAATAATATCGTCGTCAAGTAAAAGTATGTGGTTGAAAGCAAAATTATTTTTAACAATTGGTGTTAAAATATACCAAAACTGAGGGAGGGAAGAAAAAAAAACCAAAAAACAAAAAGCATTTTACTATTTAGGCGTTGAATTGACGACGGACTTTTCAAATATTATTGAAAAATTGACGACAGTTTTACGACTAAGAGTTAATTTTGTTCAAAAATTCACCATTGAAAACTTCACCTGTTCAAATATTATCCATTGAAAATACTTTAAAAAGACAGTTTTACGATAGTTAAGTTATTAAAAGCGAATTTAAACAAAATGTCACTTTTATTGATATTAGATGTTGTAAAACGAAATCACCTGTTCAAATATTATCCATTGAAAAATAAAAAGACAGTTTTTACGATAGTTAAATTAAAAGCGAATTTATTGGCTGCTTAATCGTCTTCCATCAGGACAAAGCCAGATCTCACTTCTCTTTGCAGACCCGACAGAAAATAAGAAGAGCTTGGTTGGGATGTTCTACTACACCTCCAATACTCACATGACTTCGCACTTTCGGGTTATTACTTATTTCGATCCCTAGAAAATTCTCTTAATGGCGTGAACTTCAACTCTCTGCAAACCTTCAAAAATCACTTAGACCGATTTATCCCTGAGAACGATTCTAATTTCTACAAGAATGGAATCAGGAATTTACTTCAAAGATGGCGACATGTAGAGGTACAAAAGAGGCCATATATGTTTGTATGTTCAAATACGTAAATATTGTCTTTGAAATTCACTTTTGTCCCAACCCAATATTTTATTCCATTTCGATTCAATAATTGAAATAAGTGCGACAGTGCTTAAAAAGACAAAAGTCTGTTTGAGCGTTCCATTTGAACAGTCGTGCTCAAAATCCTTTTCTCTTCGTCAATAACTATTATTAATTTACTCTCCGTGGCAATGATAAACAAATTAATACAAGTACGAATATTCGAGAACGTCTTTCGTAATCAAATCTATGGAATATTCGAAATAAGTTAGTGACATTTGAAAAAATAGTAATGGCCTCTGATTTAAACATCTTGAAAGAATGTTGTGTCAAGGAAGAAGATTCCATTCGAAGCTCTTTGACGCTTATCGTCTGTGGCGTTTATCTAAAGGAATTGAATCTAAAAATGAGAGGATCTGACTCAATCATGGAAAAGAGTAAAAATTTGCATATTTCACCAGTCTGATAAGTACATGATTTTAACTGCGAAATTTGGTGTTGCGATTAACGAGTTAAATACTGCACCTGATCCGAAGCTATTCTGAAAGTATTTTATTTGCATTCTTGATATGACAATCACAGACGTATATTTGATCGTCACTAAGTACCCCATTAAAATTGCTTTATAAGTCGAGTTTGATAGGTAAAAGCGTCAAATAATTATTAGGAAATTAATTTTGCCAGTCATTGTGACTGAGCCGTACTCCATTTTGTATCTCTTTGAAAAAGGTAGATCATTGGAAACGCTACTTACTACATCATTGAGAAGTTGAATTTATTCGGACAAGATGTCGCTAATTTCAAATGTATTATATTGACTATTTACACTATTTACGTTGTTCGGACTGTATTCTTCATCTTTGTTGTCATATTCACGATGTTTCGACCGTTGTACGCTCCGGCCTTCTTCAGTTGATTGGAATTTCGAACCGAACCCTGTATTTCATCCACCGGGGTAGGTAACTGGAACTGTGATATCCGGATGAGGCGTAGAACTAGAACAATCTATCCCAGTTGATGAAATAAAGAAATTTCAATCACTTGAAGAAGGCCGGAGCTTAAAACGGCCGAAAAGTAGTGGTGAACCAAAACTTGGAGAGTTGAGTTAAAGAGAAATAAATGAGACATCCAGAAAAGGCATGACACGCGGAACTAGAATAATTTACCCCCGATGGACGAAATAAAGGGTCCGATTCGAAATTTCAATCATCTGAAGAAGGCCGGAGAGTATAACGACAGAAACGTTGTTAATATGGCAATGAAGATGAGGATAATAGTCCAAATAATGTAAATAATGCAAGCAATTGTAATACCTCATCTCAGGGATATAGAGGCCGAAACGTTGTGAAAATGGCAACAAAGATGAGGAGAACAGTTCGAACAATGTAAATAGTTACAATACACCAGAGATCTCAACAGATATATTTAATTGACCTTAAAAGCAAATTTTAATCGTTGTTTTTGACTATCAATTCCAATATCTTCAAATAAAATTAATTTGATAATATTATTTATTAATGATAATGGCTTTGAATTTGAAATAATAATAATTATTATTTTTTTTTTTTCTTGATTTCTTGCGTGTACACATTTCCACTGACAAAAAAGGAAAAAAAATTACATAGATAAAGCCCTTCGTAAAGGACAATTGTCAGAACAATTTTTGTATTTCTTTGAGGCATGAACTTCCAGGAATCCCTTCAATTAATCTACTGGAATCTTTCCCAACCAATCCTAGGGCTTCAACCACAACAGGGATTGTTGATGTTCCCATGTGCCACATTTTTGAGATTTCGATTTCAAGGTCCTTGCATTTTGACAGCTTTTTTAATATCTCCAAAGATACATTGCAATCTGCAGGGACTGCCATATCAATAAAGAGGAACTTTGTTTTTTGTTTGTGGTCTCTAATAACAATGTCTGGGCGGTTGGCCTTGATATTTTGGGCTAACACAATATTTTAGTATATGTGCTTGATAATTCCTAGTTAGCAAGCATTGGTCCTGTGCAGCAAGGATAAAACCTTTGGTTTCAGCTTTCAACCCTGTACTCCGTAGCCACTGATGGGTACGGGTCTTGTCTACGTCAGCTTGTTTGGTACGGGCAGAGTATTGGCCATGAAGCCGTTTATCTTGCCATTGTTTCTGTATCTGATCGGTTGCATTTGTCTTTGTTTTCTTTTTTAAGTATTTTGCAGCTTCAGACGGTGTGCTGTGCTTTACTTGCATCTCTACGCCCATTTGGAGCTCCATTTTGAATTTGTTGGCTTCTTTTATTACACAGTAAAGACGCTTCCTACTTTCATGTTCTTTGACACATACCATCATCCAGTCTTCTGTAGTTTTCAAGTATCTTTGGAGGCCAAATGTTGTAGTTATGTAGGACAGTTCTAGTTGAACTAATCCTCTGCCTCTTTCGGATCTGGGCACATACAGACGATCAACATCAGCTTTGGGATGATGCATGCTGTAGCAAGTGAGAAGCTTTCTCGTTCTGGCGTCCATTCGCTTAATTCCAGCTATGATCCAGTTAAGGACATTAAAGCTGTATTGCACCACAAGGACAGCCAATGTGTCTATGGCTGATATTCTGTTTTTTGTGTTTAGCTCGGTATTTAGTACCAGACGTACACGTCTGTAATACTCCATTCTTAACTTCTTCTTCATTTGGGGGTGTTGTATGCCATCTCCTTCGCTATTTCCTAGGTACTTATATGCTTCAGCATGCTCCAGTTCCCTAATCTTTGTGACAAAATCTAAATCTATTAAGGATGTTTCTGTAATTCTACCTTTCTTGAATGTTACTTTTGCACATTTATCTAATCCGAAGTCCATACCTTTTAAGTATGATTATTATTATTATTATTGTTATTATTTTATTAGTCAGAAAAAGAGATTCTTAATCGGCTGCAAAAGATTCCTTTCCTATAACAAAAGAAACTTGGTTCTTCGGCCCAAATCACCAGCATATATATATATATATATATATATATATATATATATATATATATAGCTGGTTATTCTTTTTAAGTCGGGTTGTCTTAGTGTAAGTGGTATTTTTTGGCATTTTCCATCGGTGCCAGTGCTCGGTTTGACAGACCAGTTAAAAGCAACAATTCTGAATGAGAATTTT